AGCTAACGTCACGATCACAACATTGTAAAGTTAAATCTATCATATATCGGCTGATAACTAAACAGTATTGATTAATATAGTAACGTTACTGGCAGGACTGTTGATACTGTCATAAACAGAAAACTACATGCGCAAGCATCAGCCCGTATCTCGCCGTTAACATAATGGCAACTCCACACTACGTCTTATCGGTGCTGTGTAGCGTGAGGGGAAGCGTGAGATACGGCTGATACTGACGAATCTGGCGGAGAAAGGTTGTGGAGCCTCCGTTGATATGCGCGTTGTAAATGGCTTGATGGGAAAGCAGGTTGTGTAGTCGGGGAGGGTGCACAGCTGATATGGCCGCAGGTGAGTGGAGGTGAGCCGGGATCCAGGAGTGACAGCCACCACGCCCAACCACAAACAACACAGACAGGGGGAAACAAACACACAACAAGGAGACGGCTGGAGCAGTACAGCCACCCCCAGCGCTTACCTAAATGCAAACTCCACACTACGTTCTTACGGTGCTGCGTACCGGAAGGAGTGGAGGAAAAGAGAGCATCGTAGGGGGGAGAGAGAGATGTAATATGGTTTTCCCTGATAAACGTTTTGTTTGATAGACTTCAGCTGTGGAGAGTATGTGCTGCAGGGAGGTGGATGCACCTCGCACAACGCACCCAGGAACGAAAGCTAGCTCCGGTCCTTTTCCTGTGGACTCGATGCCCTGACAGGTTGGAGTTTGTGCAACCTGCACAAACACAAAAAATACCAGCGCCATATAGATAGAAGAGTTACGACAGCGGAAGTCCAAAAACGGTTATCGTCACATGGTTCATGTAGACGAGGATCGTTCCCCGGAAGTTCATGGCGGGCAATGTGAATGCATTGATAACAGGAGATAGAACTTTTGGTAATTATTAGTGAATAAAGGTTTTGATTTGCAATATTTATACAACAAATCGATATGTGTATGTATTTACATCAATATGTTTTAAAAAATAAAATAGAATTTGCTAATATTAAGTGATAATATTAGGCCTATC